TGTGCTTGTGGGGCTCAGTGGAGTAGAGGTCCTCTTAGGAGAGCTTTAAAAAGATATTAGAACCACGAAGCTATGCCTGTTGGCTTTTAAGTTGCATAAGTTAGCTGATTTGCGCAAATGCCTTATTCCCTTGGGACCCTAGTGTTTTAATATTTTTTGTCAAGTGGTGAAAAAAATGGCTGTTAATTTGAACATTTCTTTTTATTTTTTATTGCTACTGGTATGATTGAGTAGATTCTTTCCACTTTTTAGGAGGGAAATAAATACACATTCTAGAGCCTTGATCTGTGTGCGTTGTGGCCATATTTTCCAGAAGATAGTCCTCTTTACCCATGGCTCATTTTTGAGATGCTGTTGATTATAAATCTATGATTGCCACCTCCAGTTTAGTTTTTTTTTTTTTTAATTTTTATTTATTTATGATAGTCACAGAGAGAGAGAGAGAGAGGCAGAGACACAGGCATAGGGAGAAGCAGGCTCCATGCACTGGGAGCCCGATGCGGGATTCGATCCCGGGTCTCCAGGATCGCGCCCTGGGCCAAAGGCAGGCGCCAAACCGCTGCGCCACCCAGGGATCCCTCCAGTTTAGTTATTATCTGGGAATCCGGCTGGGAGTGGAATCTTGTTTTAAGTCCTGGTAGGCTGGGAAGAACTATTAAAATCATATTAGAATGACTGCTTAGAAAAATAGCACCAAGGCTAGAAAACCAGAAAGTCTATTGAAGAACGAGGTACTCTTTTTCTGTTTGTTCATGTTGCGTGATACTACACTGTATTAAGGGAAAACTTAGAGTGTTCTGCAAGATAATAGGTACGTGTATACCTTTAAACTTTGCTCTCATAGCGTTACTTCCTTCCTTCTTTCATGACTTCCCCTGTTCTGATCTGCCCTTTATATTTCTGCCTCCCAGGTAGAGTTGCCATTGTGGCATATAAACTTTCTCTTAAAGGATAATTTCCAGTAAAACACTGCCTTTCTTGAGGGTATCCCTCCATTTGTTGCATCACCACCAGGGCTCCCTGGCTCTTCCTAATGGATCCTGTATGTGTGGTCTGTTTCTAAAGAAACCCCTGAGGCCCTAAAAGCATTGAGAGGAAACTCAAATATTACCACCAAAGACTCATGAGCCAGGTTCTGTGGACTGGGACAGGCATGTTGATATTTTTATGGTGTTTCGGGGTTGGAATATACAGCAAAAGGTGATCATTTTTCGAGGCAGCTTCTTGACTCTCTTACCTAGAATCCAAAAATAGATTTTTATTTGTTTTTAAAGATTTTATTTGAGAGTGTGTATGTGCTTGAGCAGGGGGAGGGGGAGGGGCAGAGGCAGAGGCAGAGGCAGAGGAGAAGCAGAAGCAGACTCCTTGCTGTGCAGGGAGCCTGATGCAGGGCTCATCCCAGGGTCATAACCTGAGCTGAAGGCAAGGCAGATGCTGAGACTGAGCCACCCAGGTGCCCCCAAGAAGAGATTTAGAATGATTGTTGAAACCTAACAAGTTTGACTTCTGGAGGGAGAGGTTCAAAATTAAATGGTTTCGTGTACTCAGATTACTTTTTCTTCTGTGATTACTGTTGGATTACAGTTAATAGTGTATTTCAGTATATAAGATATACTTACATAGTATATTTAAGTTTTCCCATGAACAAAAAGGTGAATAACCTCATTAAATCTCATTTAAGAAAATTGTTCTCCTTTGAGTTAAAATTCAGTTAAAATTATAGATCATGTGTATGAGATTTTTCCATTTCAGTGTCAGAAAAGCCTTTTTAAAAAGTTTTGATTATATGTTACTGTTTCTTATGTACCTTAGTATTCTAAAAATAATTATTTCATTATAAGGACTGAAGATCCTGTAAATCAATGATCCCAGAGTTGAGTACCATGATGTGATGAATTGTTTATACTTAAAATAGAGGAGTAAGAATACAAGCAAATATGTTAAAAATAAGTCTTAAAATAGCTATCCTTCATTTGAATTATTCTTTGTATTTGAAGTCTGCTCTGAAAGCCCAAGTGAGGAAGCTTATCCTGGCAAACTTATTTCAAGCAGATACTAACTCACACAGGAGGGTGAGGTCCTGAGTAGTGTGTATAGGTGGTCACGGGCATTAAAAGGTTATTTGCAAAATAGGGTCTTTGAGCTCAGTGAAGGAACATGGACAAGGATGACAACTTCAGCCCTCGCTGAATACTGAGATCAGGACTACTCCAACCCTAGCTAAGTGGTAGGCTAGAAATTTTTTGAGCTGGAACATTATGTGGGTGTCAGCCTGGAGGGCAGCATCCTAGTGTGGGCGCCTCAAGGCCTGTTGCTGCTGAACTGACTTGTGCCGGAGAGTGCCCTCTCCTGGCCACTGCTGGTGTGTCAACACCTCAAGTCTTTTCTTTAAGTACCCAAGCTTCACTTACTGTGAAGTCAGCAAGTTATCTACATTCATTATGAAAATTCAACTGAATTTTGGTCTTATTTTTAAAACTTTTTTTTTTTTGTAAAATGGATTTAAAAGAACTCAAATGACTGCTCTATTTTTGTTAACTTGGTTTTTTCTACCATAGGTCTCAACAAATGGCAGCTATTACATCAGACAGTGACGAGTCCTGCTGCTCCCTTACAGTGTCTGACAGACCACTGTGGATTCAGACTGGGAGCATTGAAGTTAACACTGAGACGGGCAGGTCTGTCTGTGTTAAGCCCTGCCACAAAGTGAAGAGGGCATCATGTCATCACTTAATCATTCTAAAGTAGATTAGGCTAGACCTAAAAGAATTCATTAGTTCTTTTTCTGTAGTTTTCATTGACCTTGGTAGCTGGGTGTACCTCATGCAGGTGACCATTTTAATGAGAGAAAATAACTTTCAATTGTGCTAAAAAAAGTAGAGCTAGCCTCCTGTGAACGCCTGTGAAATGAGAGTTTCTCCTAGGGTGGTAAAAGTTGGGTATCAGATTGTAGAATTATGTCAAATAGCAACGGAGCCTCCGTGGGAAGTCAAATAGTGGATTTCTTTATCTTTTCACTATCTCAGTCTTTCTTTGTCACTTTGATATCCATTTAACTTCTTAGTCATTCTTAATGTGTGTATATATAAGGATATATATATATATATATATATATGTCCATAGGTGAACATATATATGTTCTCAGTGAATTGACTTCAAAACCACTGTCATTTACATAAGGAAAGTCAAAACTCAGAGGGGCCGTAATCTCTTTAAGTACATTTATTGAGACCTCTTTGGATAGTGCCTTAAAGGCTTATTTTGGGTTTTTATACAGCTGGAAAGATTTAAGGATTTCTGTTGTGCTGCTTTTGAACTTACGATCCCATTTGCTTCCTTGAATTAAGGCTATTTAACCATATGGTGTTTGCAGCCAGTAAAGAGCCATGATATTGCATAGGACCTGTAATTTGCAAGCTGGGTCAGAATGGCACAGTTTGGATCAGAGATTGAGGCTGGGAGATTGTGGACGCTGACCTGTACTATAGGGATGGTAGGGTGATTTCTTGAAGGAATAGTGTTAGTTTTCTGCACCTCTCATATGAATAATAAGACCTGCTTCAACCCTGGGCTTTCTTGTCAACTTGAATAGGCCTCCCTAAGGTTGAAGCCAAATACTGAGTCATAAATAGAAGGAAAGGGAATTGTGTATGGGATTGGCTGTTTACCTTTTTTTTCTTTCAGTTTACTTCCAAAGTTCTTTGTGGGTCTAAAAGAGTATTACACGATACTAGTTTTAAAAACTAAACGTTTCTTAGCTCAGTGTCAAATTTAACGGTGTTAATGATTCTGTTTCTTCAGAAGTAAAGACAATTCACCTTCTATTCTGATGTGTGTGGTATTTACGGCTAGAAGCCATTGTTCATTGCTTGAGAAAAATGTGATAGAATGCTCTGTTACTGTGTTTTATAGGCCTCGATCCAGTAAGTCAGGGAGGCAACCCAGGAAGCTAACAGAAGATCAAGAGTTCTACCAGAGAATGGCAAAGACACTTCCTTTGAAATGTTTGGAAGTTAAATATTGGGAAGGATGGGGGGTGGTTCTTTTTCTCTTCTGCATTTGTTTTGTCAGTTGTTATTCTGAAAACACCACGGATCTTTGGTTTAAAAATACATTTGACCCAAAAAAATCATCATTTTCTCCATGATCAACTCTTTTAGAATTTAAGCTCTTATTGGTACTTAGTCTACCAGGTCCGAGAGGCATTAACCAAAGATGATAGAGGGTTGCCGTGGGGTTCTTACCACTTGGTATTAAAGGGAAGTTGATAATGTTAGTTAGAAATTCTGGTCATGCTGTCTAGCAGGAATTTTTATAAGCCTTGTATGGTGAAGAGTGCCTCTGCTCATGATCCTGTGTGCTGGTGTTAATAAGGGACTCTGTGGTCAGTCTACCTAGTGTACAGAAGTTGTCTTCGAGTAGCAACACAGTGCTCTGGATGCCTTCTAATGTGCTGTGTCTACCTCTGGGAAGGCACCGTCCATCCTCCTGGTTTGCTCTTTGTGCATATGCAGACAGTACGGTCTGCAGCTGACCTGCACCTAGGTTGGTTTCACATTTAAATCTGCCTAAGTCTGTAGGTGGCCTGTGCTAGAAGAAGGCTGCTGGAGCTTCAGAGCAGTCCACGGCAGCTGCGTGGACTTACAAAGGTTAACATGGATACCAGTGAAGTGTCAGCAGAGAACGGAGCTAAACGCCCCCCTGCCCCAACATCAGGCAAATACTCATTGACAAATATTTTTAAAATCTACTCAAATGCAGATTAACTCTGTGAAGGTGACAACAGTTTTGTGTTGGAATGTGGCCAGATGTACTTTGGAAATAAAATGAATGCTTCTGCTGGCTAAGAGTGGAAGTCAATTGTTTTCTCATATATCGGTTAAGGTTAGCTGGTTTAAAGGAAACATTCAATCTACTGAATTTAAACAATGAGGACATCATTTTTGTCCCATTTACTTGTGCTTAACTACATTTTCTTCCTTTTCTTTACTGTATTTCAGCACAAAGACATTAGCAGGCTGCTGGTTTCATGGACCTGTACCACAGTGACACCACACCAGAGCATCAGGACTGAATGCCATTGGAGACTCAGATGTTTAAAGCTGCACTGAGAAGTAAATGTTAAGGCAGTGGTTAAAACCCACAGTCTATAAAGGGGCACTTGCAAACTGTGCTATAGTAAATCGAAGAAAAGGTATTAGGGGAATGTTTTATAAAAAATAAACTATTGCAATAAGTTATGCATGAGAGGAGGAGAAAAGTGCTATGAAACACGCAAAGAACTCACTTGAATTTTATGTATGAAGATTATCACTGACCGTTAACTTTTTCTGAATGTGAAGTTCTTTTCAGTACAGTTTGGACAGGCCTAAAAGGCATGGGATGATGACAAAGATGCTGAATTATTTTTTAAACAGAAACTCTGTGCTTTCTCCAAGGTTTTGTTAATCAGTTCCGATATGAGCAAAGGCATTTCTAAGATGGCTCTCCTGTGACACAGCAAGAGTCGCACCTACCCAAGCGAGACCAGAGTCTCCTTCAGGGTACCAGTGGAAACAAGAGAAAAGATTCTCTAACATCCTACTAAAAGGATGGCAAAGTGCCCCACCCCGCAAAGAGAATTTGGATCTTTTCTTTCTTCAATAAAGCAGGGCTGTATTATCTTGAATATACGTTTGCTTGTTAGAACATATTAAGATGTATTTATTTGCCACCAGTATTTAACATTTTGTGCACATTTTCATAACTACATTCTTACCTTTTAAATTCTGACTCAAAGTGGATAGGCTAGTGTTGACCTTAGAGTGAAAATGAATACTCTAAGCTAGTTCTTCATTCTACTGATGTAGAAAGGCTTTCCCCTGAATTTTGATGTGGACCTCTCTCATGGAGAGCCCTCCCTTTTAAGTGCAAAATACTCTTCCAGGTGTCAGGTGGGACTTGACCCTGGGAACAGGCAGTAGGAACAGACCCATAAAGAGCTTTCATGCATGGAACATGAATTCTTATTAGTGGAGACCACAGTCTTTTTCTTGTCTTTGGAAAATACATATTATGAAAAACCTTAATTTTTCTTTTTAATGAATGGAGAAAACTTTCATGAGAAAACCAGATGGACCTATCAGAACTGCATTTTTAAGGCATTTTATATTTGATGGTGCCGTACTTTTAATAAAACTGAAGTTTTTTAGTGGCAATACTGATTTATTTTTTAAACCAGAAAGATAATCCATATTGATTACTTAGTACAAAAAAAGGGAAAAAATGCCAAAAAATAAAATATAAAATTCATTTGAAGCAACATAACAGATAAGTGAGCATTTGGCTCAAGTGTTCAAACTTTCCATAATCTTACCGTAGAGGTTGGAATTACTTAATAACCCCACACTCAGGATTAAGAAAAGGATCTGAGTGAGAGTTGGAGAACATTTAATAGCCCTACCTAGGACTTGTTTTACAACTCAAGAAGAAAAGGTGGACCGTCTTCTAGTGAGCTTAATATAAACTCTAATTATGCTACAAGTAAGTAAAAGTTTGGAGCGCATGCTAAAGTGTTTTTAGAAACTTCATGAAGTCATTATACACGTTTGATCAAATCTGAAAAAGTCAGCTCAGGAACTGGAGCAGCAGGGAGCTCTAAAGATGTGTACCTCCATGGTACCCTCTTCTTCACGGCCCTAGGGCTTAGGCTTGGGTCCATCTTGTTCTTTCTGATCTTGAACACCAGCAGTACCTTTCAGGCTCATTTCAAGACCCAGGTAACTCCAAGCCATGGTGGACTGTATAATAAGGATTTTTAATGAAGCTTTAGAATTCTTTGTGCAGTGATGGAAATGACCAAGAAATATACAAAGGCAAAACCTGATCTCTCCCAATTCTTTAAGTATCTAAATATTTTTTTTCTCATGACAAAATTCTCAAAGGCATTTTGTTATAAGCCATTTTCATTTTAATAAATGAAATTTGGTGGTATTTAAAATCTAGACATACCATGTTGCTATTTCACTTTTCATTGCTTTAGTTGCTTAATATTTAAGCTTTGCTTCATGCTACCTTTGTCTGTGTTTCAAATCTTCACAAGCCTATTTCATTTTGTAGACTTGAATGAAAAAAGTTGTTTCTCATCTAAAGTATGCTAAGACTTAAATGTTAAAGAATGTTGTGTAACATTTATCCAATAAAGTCTTGATTTTTTAAAATTTAGTTATTTAAAAACTTTTATTTTTTAGGAGTTAGGTTTTAAAGTTACTATTTTTTAACCAGTAAGATTCAACCACTAGTTGTTCCTTAGGGAGCTGTTTTAAGTAATACTGCTTTCTTAGGAGAACAGCCTATTTTTATATAATCACTGGAAGATTTTTTATGGGACCCTCTACGACCAAGGAATAGAGGAAGGGTGAAGAGTTTAATTATCCTGTCACAAACATTACTGTTTTCCTTTCTGATGGAAACAAATATGCTACCCTTCAGAGCTAGATGAGATTGAGCAAATATCTACTGGTAGGTTTAAGAAGTCCTGCCCTTACGGATAAATGGTTGCTTCTTTAAAAGCTCAGCATGTCCGATGTGTTTGAACCAGAAACACTCCACTGTCAGGAAAAAATGAGCCAATTAAAACCTCAAATTTCTAAAAATTTGAGAATTTTTAGACCAAAAACCTCGGTTAGTGTGCCTCCCCCACACCTCTGGAAAAGCAAGCCTCTGGAAGGCTCTGTTATTCCAGAGTATACATGGAGTCTGTTTTTTCTACCCCGCCCCCCTTGAGTTTCCTAGTAATGAAAATGGAATTACAACCAAGGTAAACAAGCCACATGCACATTATCTGGAAAGCCTCCACATGACACCCACCCCAACACACTCCCAGTCATGTTAACATACATGTGTCTGTAGACACACCACCTATCAGGAGAGGGAATGAGTGCAGAGACCCATGGCTACAACTTAGGACCTTCCTGGTGCTGTCTTCATGTAAGGAAATATAAGTTTGGATTCATGCCCTGGAATTGTTTATGAAAGGTACTGGTACCATCCTGGACATGCGGGGTATGTCGCAGCAAGTATGCACTGTAGAAAACTGTTTTCGTGCTTTTATACCTGATAACTCAGGTCCTCTTTCAAGTAAGGATTCTTCCCTCAGTGCTTTGAATAGAGCACACTGTATATTGTTAAGTACACCTTTCTCTGGTGATTAACATCACAATGAAATTTCATGGACTAACAACTCCTTTGCTCTGATATCAAGAAAGTACTGAACCTGGAATGAAAAGAGAACACAACTCAGGGAATACTGTGCAAGAGGAAGAAAGAGCTGGCCAAGCCCAGTGGCTAGGTTACCATATCTAAGAGTTAAGAATACTTGTAGAATTAGGCCTTTCCTAAATTCCTTGTGAAGCGTTCTGTATAGAAAAGAACCTTCTAACACGAAGCAAAGTAAACCGGTGATACTAAGAGGAGGATGCTTCTAGACGCATGACGTGCTTTAAACTAGACTTGGATTCTGATCGAAGTCCTGCCAGTTACCTTCCTGACACAATCTCACTGTAGCCGCACTGGTCAAAAACACGGAAGACGGAATTTTTTTTACCTTGAGTGAAAATAGTCTATAATCTTACCTTTCTGAATTCTAAGTTGTCAGTGCCTAATTCCTGTGGGTTCTGAATGGACAGCTCAGACCTACGATCCCAGGAAGGTGAACTAGATCAGCAATGTGAAGTACCTCGAGGTAAAGGAGTGCCTGCTGTGTCACTGTTCTAGAAAAGCACAGCCAGGGGTTCAGTGAGACACAAAGCAACCTTGTGGAAGACAGGGATGGGGGTGATCCTTCATATGTTTTAAATAAATGCAGCAGCTTCAACTCTTGTAGAAAACGAGGCGGGCTGGAAACACTTTTGCAGCATAAGCGGAAGCTCTAACTCCTGGTCTCTAATGCCAACTCTGTCAATGGCAGGATTTAATCAGTGTCACAAAGGAAGTTATCTGACCTTTTCTCCCAGTTAACTTCATGAAGCAAAGCTGCAAACAGCACTTTCTATTTTGGGGTAGTCAGACTATCCCTACAAAACAATGTTGTGTACCAGAGACCGTCCACCAAGGCTAGGCTTTGAAATGCAAACTGTTGTCCCCACTTGACTCCAATCCCCTGCTTCCCATTCCAGGCCTCCTTGAGGATTTCTATCTTTAGGCTGTTTGGAGACTTGACCATTTGTGGGTTTCTGAGTTGCTACATTTGGGGAGCTGGAGGGCACTGGGGTGCTCTGGTGGTATGAGGTGGCTGCCTAAAGGGAGTCCAGGCAAAGGGCCTGAGGTAGAATTCCCACCTGGGTGAGCTCTATTTCTCAGCAAGCAAGAGCTCTGGGAGCTGGGACTGAATAGTGGCTTCCCTGGCAGGGGGACAGCAGGCCATGCCATGCTTTAGCAAGAGGGAAAAGGGAGTTTCCAAAGTTTTCCCCTTGAGTGAAAGGAAGAAGAAGGTAGAGTCCTATTTCTAGTTCTGGCTGACAGAATTTAACTCCTACAGGATGGAGCTTATTCCTAGTTTGCAGACCTCAGAAGGTTGGAAAATTACAAGACTGCAATATTCCTATTACCAAGTATTCCAAACATCGGTAAAGGCAGACTGGACTAACTCACAAGCCCTGAGTGTCCAGCCCCAGCTTCATCAATGAGCAACCTGGAGCCAGGAGGACTGAACTGTTTAATGCTTTGGAATATGAGGCCATCTTCACTAGTTTTATTACTAGTTTCTCTGATTGCCCTTTGAAGGGCTTGAAGCAACTGTTCTCATGCTCCAGGGTAATGCCAGCCCCCTCTCTTGGGCTGCCTGGTAGCATTGTGGTGTCAGGAGCGTGAGTGGGCTTGGTCCTCCTTTTTTATAGAGTTCCCTGAAGGAACAGATGGCCTAGCCACTAATGGTACAGTGTGCACATACTTCCTCTTTTAAAGGAAATGAAGGTGCTAGAAGGACTAGGCATGTTACTTTTGCAGTTCAGAGGGGGGCATGCTGAAAAGGAGCATACGCATGTCCCTGAAATTGCTCCAGGATTTTACTAGGGTTTAGGGGTATGTCTCAAGCACACAGCACACACCGATTAAGTATTAAAGGAAGAGTTCAATGGGGCAGCCCGGGTGGCTCAGCGGCTTAGCGCTGCCTTCGGCCCAGGGCTTGATCCTGGAGACCCAGGATCGAGTACCACATCGGGCTCCCTGCATGGAGCCTGCTTCTCCCTCTGCCTGTCTCTGCCCCTCCCCCTCCCGTGTCTCTTATGAATAAATCTTAAAAAAAAAAAAGTTCAATGCCTTAAGAAATAAGGGAGGGACGAGGTGGGTGGCAGGATCACAATAGGAACAAACAGAACAAACCTACCCAGGCTGGCAGTGACCCCTGGGCTGAGGCCGACAGACTGTGCCCTAAACACTCAGCTCTCGAAGTTCCATGCTGCCTTTTAGGCCAACAGCAAGCTTAAGGAAAAGCTCAAATAATAAGAGGAAGAGGGATGGAGGCTTAAGTCACTGATTTTTCCTGTCCTAGGAGGTTTCTTAGATTGGTACTCTGGTCTTAGATGGTTACTGGACCTTTCCCTTTAAAGATCTTTCTTCTTGAGATTCAAGCAGCCACTCACTTGCACAGGTGTTCCCTACCTTCCCCTTTGACGTTCCACCACTGGCTAAAAGAAAGGATTTGCAGGTCTGGTTCTTAGATCAGACAATCCTTACAAATATATCTTCCAATCAGGTTTACATTTAATTAACACCTGCTGCCAGTTTCTCATCCCACGCCAGTCTGTTGACAGTAAAATGCCTCCAAAAGGTCTCTGGTCTCCCTACACCAGTCTGAACTCCAGCATGAGAGCCCTGTGAAGCCTAACCCAGCAACCATCTCAGAGGCCAGCTCAGGGCCCCACGAGCACAAGTACTCAGCAGGCCCAATAACGTTTCCAAAAGCAGTTCCCTACCTTCAATGACAGAATACTGCAGAAAATAGGACTTTGGTCATTTGTAGACTTAACATTCATGCTTTTAACTATACCTGAGGAACACTGAAGGTCCAATGTGTGAGGTCTTGGCATTTTACTGCAGCTCAAATGTAGGCCCCGTGCTGCTATGTTCAGGTCATTAGCTAGTAGGCTCGGCCACTCCCCAGCCTCCACATCTCAGCATGGTGTAATATTCTCTATTCCTATAAGCACAATAACTTGTAATAAGCTATGGCATTCTGGGGGGTAGGACAAGGAGCAAAAGGATATGCGGGAAGAACCCAGGAGCAGTGCTTGTGATGGAAGGTAAACCTATAAGCAAATTCAGACTTAGAAAAAGAGGTCCATCTGAAGAACAGAATTTAACCACAACTCAGATCCATGATGTGAGACAAAGGAACTAATCCACGGTGTACTCCTCACAGAAAAAGCACCGGATGAGTAAGACTTTGTTGCAGAAATAGTCCCAGTTTCCTGGGTGAGCCTTCTGCAGGAGGTTCCGTGAATGGAAGTTGCTCTGTAAGAGTTGGAGGGGTAGCTAAGATATAGTGTGGAGGCACAGAGAACACAGGATTCAGTGGAAATGTGATCTGGGACAAGGTGGAGTTTTGAAAATGTCAAGACAAATCCTTGCAGGTATTTAAAATGCAAAAATGAACCTTTAAAGACTAGGAGCCATATGCTTATTAGCCAGGTTGAATGCTCTACACGGCGGCACATGATGGCCTGGACTGGCTTAAAATGATTCTTTTTGCAGTGTCTTTTTAAGCTTCATGTGTACAAATACTGGGCTCACTGTTGAGTAATCCTAGGTGTGCCCTCTAAATCAGCCAGAACTGCCCATCTATCCAAATAAAAACACTACTGTACAAAGTTAACCGGGACTAGAAACTGCAGGGTGTTGAGGCCATCCAGGAAGTCCAGATCAATCCACTGGTCTAGACTAGGTGAAACCAAGCTGTTGACTTTCACTGCCTCCCACCACACCCTTTGGGTAAGGTGAAAAACAGCACATAAACCTTCTAAGCTGACACTTGAATCACTTGCTGGTCTTAAAATTTTGAGGAAAATGACTAGTTTCTACTTACCTTGAGATAATGGTTAGCAAGGAGACATTTTAAAAACCAGGTACTCATCAAAGGGTACAGAATCTGGAGACTTCTGGATAGTGATTGTTATTCACACTGAGAACACTTCTTATAAAATACCTTTAATACCAACTTACTAGGTTTCTGGTAGAGAAGTAGATGTTGGTGCTATAAAGAAATAAACATGGCCCTTACCTTCCAGGAGGTCGTGGAGGCAAAGGGGGAATAGGAGAGCATAGTATTTAAATAAAATGTATCTTACAGTCTTCAAGGAAATTCTAGAAAGAGATCCAAAATTATTATTATTATTTTTTTAATTTTTATTTATTTATGATAGTCACACACAGAGAGAGAGAGAGAGGCAGAGACACAGGCAGAGGGAGAGGCAGGCTCCATGCACCAGGAGCTCAACGTGGGATTCGATCCCGGGTCTCCAGGATCGCGCCCTGGGCCAAAGGCAGGCGCCAAACCGCTGCGCCACCCAGGGATCCCCCCAAAATTATTTTGATCCACTGCAATATTGTCGGAATAGGAGCATATACAAACATTTCTATTCTATTCCATTCATTCTATTGTCAAACATTTTCAGAAAGTTTGACTCTATTTTTTTCTTCCAGATTTGTAAGTAGAGAAATAACTATGGTTGATTAAGAAAAAAACCAAAACACACCTTGGCTTAAGAAAATGCACATCGCACATCTAGTTAGATTCCCTTCCTTTCCTTTCCAGATGTATTACTTGGCCACTGTGAGATTTCGGCGTGGTGGTGGTGGATGGTGGAGGAGGAGAAGGGAGACAAAGAGGGAGAAGGCCTGAGAAGCAAAACCTCTAGAGCCCGCAGCAACAGCAATGTCTTGAGGCAGGCTGTATCTAGGCAAACACGTCTATTTCCCCACTCCCTGGAGGGTCAGACAGGTGCTCAGGAATCTCAGCCCCAACCTTGGCCAAGTCTCAGTTATTAAGCTTGAAAGTCATAATCTAACAAAGTAGTTCTCAAAATATGGTTTGAGGGGCGCCTGGCTGGCTCAGCCAGTAGAGCATGTGACTCGATCTTGGGGACAAGTTCAAGCCCCAAAATGGGTGTAGAGCTTACATTTAAAAAATGCCAAAAAGTGGGCTAAGGCTTCTGAGTAGTTCCTGAGATCCTTTCAGGTCTCCATGGATCAAAGCTGTTTTCTCAGTAATACTAAGGGGTCATGTGCTTTTCTCACTGTCCTGCTGTCACAGGTATGTGCAGTGTAGGATTTCCAAGACTCCGTGACATGATAACTGTAACAGCCTGAATGCAGAAGCAGATTTTAGAATTTTACTATCTTCTATCAAGCCACAAAAGAATTTGCAAAAATGTAAACTGATGTCATTTTCCTTACTGAAATGTTTGTTTTAGGAGATATTTTTCTAAAAATATTATTTATACTAACAGGAAATGTATGTTATTTTTAAAGGAATTAACTAGATGTTTAATAAGAGAATTCTCTGGTTTCTCATCTGGTTGATGTCAATGTACATAATCCACATAAACCAAAACACTCTTTAAACTTCCTTGAGTGTGAAGGGGTCCTGAGGCAAGAAGACCTGAGAGCTGCTGCTCTGGCACCGTCGGCCGCACAGGAGGCACTGCCTGCTGAGAGCTGGGCCATACGGTGCTCAGCCCAGGCTCCTGTACAACTTCTGTGATGTCACAAAAACACTTTGGAATATGAGATGCCAGATTTGTCATAAAGATAGCAAAGCAAAAGGAACCAGCTCTTTTTCCCTTTCCCCTTAATTCTATGAAGAATTTCATTTCAAAATCTGGAAGACATGCTCACCTTTTCAGTTAGTACTGCACGTCATCCTGCTACCTGCCAACACTTTCTCAGGGGCTTCGAGGAACAGATCAAAGCAGCAGCATATCCTTCCTACTGGAAGTAGGCCCTATTCCAGCATCACTCAGAGAATGACATGTGTGCTTCCTTTCTCAGATGAAACCTGCATGTCTCTGCCTTTGACACTCAAACCAGAACTGGAAGCTTTTCACCAGCAATCACTGATGACTAGGAAAAAGACCCTAAGCCTACCTTTGAAACCTCTGGGTTGCTGGAGCCTAAGAAGACGGCTTGTTCTGGGGTTTATGTATCACCATACCTGAATGAAGCTATTTTAAGTTGAAACTGTTAAGATGCTTGGATAAAAACACTCATCTCATAATGATCTGCACAAAACTGAAGAGGTACAAGAGAGTTTGTGAGATGGAGTTTCTTCTAGCATGTGGTAGAATGGTCACTTCTTCAAGATCATCTTCAAGTTGGCAACTAAGACTTTGGGCAGATTTGTAGACTCCAGTAACACTTAGCGACACTACTCCCGAAGCCAGAGAAGCCTGGTGCTTCAGCTGTCGTTATGGGGACAAAGTTCACAAGGCAGCTCAGACCATCACAGAAAGCGTTTATTACCACAGAGGAAACCAGGAGACGCCAGAGCCCATGCCCGGCCACCTGGGCAGTGGGAGTACTCAGGGAGAGAGGACAGTAGGCGGGAACCCCATTAATCATGTTTGGGCAGTTTCTGACCAGCAGTTTGCTCAGGCCGGGAGATACTCTGCCTGGGCCAGTGTGGAAAGCTTGAGGAGACCAGCTTTGACAAGCAGGCTTCCTCCTGGACAAAGCAAAGAACAGCCAGAACCAAGGGCAACAGCCACACAGACATCGAAATCCAATTAGGCTTATTACATCAGAAGTGTGTTTCACCCTGACCATAAAACAAGAGGGAAAAGGGAGCAACTGGGCCCTAGTGGGTAGCCTGTCTTTGAGATAAAATGCTTTTGAAAGTTAAATATTGGCAGGGCCTTCCCCCTTGCTAATAGCGAGCAGCACAAAATCTCCAAGCCAGCTTTAAAAGCTACTGTGAACTTTGTTATCTGTTATTATTTGGATTTTGAACAAAATTGATGGAGTAGGAACCAGTAGAGGAATCCTGTTTGATCTGGAAATTTTCGGTGGAGAGTCCAAAAGGTCGAAGAACCAAGTTCCCAAGATCTTTTAGTTTACCTGTAATGGAAAATGGAAAATTCAGATAAATATGGGGAATAAACAGAAGGAGGAAGACCCCAACTGATCCTGCCTTACTATCTGATTACAAAATATAAAGAGCATCTTGCTTTTAAAATTATGAACCCTTTAGCCCCTCAGCAATGTGGTCACTTTGGTGCCACTCACCCCCACACCCGTGCTTTTGTAGATGATCGTGAGGGAGCACCACTGGCTCCCTTTGGGAAAGCAAAGCTTCCTGTTCTAACTGGCCAGAACCAACAAAGGACACAGACCCTGGGATGGATGATGGCCAAACTGACCATTGCTCCTGGGGGGCTGAAAGTATCCTGCCAAGTCCCAGGGCCTGGTGCTGAGGGCGGCGGACCCTCCAAGTCTGTTCTTTGAGGAAAGCAGCAGCCACCTGCTGAATCTGATCCCTCTCAGATTTCTACCGAGCTTGGGTTCAGACTCAAGGGCCTCCTGCTTTACTAAGGAAAGCCTTAGCTTCTACACCAAACTTGTCGTTTCTCAGGAAATGAGAAATGTCAAATGCTCTTGCTCATCTGACAGCACTGCCAACCTCAACAGTTCAGTCTCTTCTCCCTCGGATTCAGGCTTAACCCAGGTGAGCTCACATCCAACAGCCAAAACTGAGACACATGGTATAACCTAGGATTTTTATGCTGATTCTACATTTAAGAGTGCCATGGAATTTGTATGTCACAGGCTGGAGTTTTCAGGATTTTTCAGAGATTTACAGGGACTCATGGGGCAATAAGATGGAATATTTGAAACTAAGGGTGTTTTGGAAAATCTTGGCTGGGATAGGTGAATACACAGTTTCGACCCTTTCTAAATTGTTGTAATTTTTCTTGCAGGTCCGTTCCCAATGGAGAGGACAATGGGAGTAAAAGGGAAAGAAATCCTTAATCATTGGAGCTATAGGTTCCTTCCCACCATCCTGCTTGTTAGCAGCTTTCTCTGAGGCGTCCCACCTTGAAGTAAAGCCCAGGTAAAGAACTTCTAGACACACAGCCTTTAAACATCAAGGTCTTTTCTGATAATTCATGGAAAAAACTTTTGGTCTCAGTCTAGACTTAGACCCCAGAGCTCACCATATTCTGGGGAAGCTCCCAGAACCCAGGCTGACCATTCTGCAGGCAGGCATCCCCCAGCCTAAACCTGAACACATAATGCTGAGCATGCCCATCTGAGGAGAACTGCTGGCACAGTTCAGCCCTGCACATGGGTGCCGACTAGGGCATGGTCTCCAACAGATGGATGCACAGGTAGGGGCCACAACCAGCACAGAGGAGGGGGCACCCTTGGGTAGGTGTGAGTTCCCCAGAACCCTGGCAGTCTGCTCTGGGGTTGAGGAAGGAGGACAGGGAGGGAACAAACATTTAAAGAAGCCGAGTAAAATGTCGCCGCTGGCACAATCCCTGGCTCTCCTGACACAGAGGGAGTTAAGTGAGAATGAATCTCCAGGAGTCACATCACACTTCCTGAAACCGGCAGGGCCACCCTACACGAACAAGCCTCTGCTCAGGTCCCTATCCCTCCCCCTGCCCCTGGAAGGAGAGCCCACTGCAAGTCCATCTCACTGCAGAGCAAGCACTGAAAGCGCCAACTGTAAAGTATCTACTATGTGATGCAGCAGGAGCTCCGGAGTAGTTTATTCTCGGCTTCTGAGAAACTCTGTCTGGCAGGGTGACAAACACAGGACTAAAGTGGGCCCTGGGCAGAAGCTCCCCGGCCTGTGCAGGGGTGGCAAGACAGGCATCTCAGAGAGAGTACACTCGACAGTGCCCTAAGGTCCTGGCAGTTCCAGGACGCTGGTGTGACCCTGTGTTCCACAGGTGGCAGGGGGACAAGCCTTCCAGCTGCAGATGGAAAGGGACAGTTAGGACCTCTTGCAGGTTTCCACTTGGCCTGACTGGGGGAGGAAACTGCCTGCCACCATGAGCCTCGCATATTTTGCTTCTCTAGAGTGGCATGTGTGCAAATGTGCTTCTCTGGCCACAGGTGCCAGGGTGGCTGTGCTGCATGCCAGGGCTGTGCTGCATGCCAGGGCTGTGCATCCCTGTCGCCTGCCGACGGAGCCCAACAGAGCCCGGCAGCGGCAGGTAAGGTACTCCCACAGGCAACTGTAGCTCCTCAGTGGCTCTGCTGGAACTCTCTCAGCACTAGGTCCTCGCGGTTTGTGACTTTTCCTAGCCAGCATCCCTCTCTCTGCCACGGGCAACGCCAGCTCTCTGCTCCACACTCAGCTTCGGCTCCCGCCCCTCCACCCACTCCTCCTACAGGTGTTCCCCCTATCAGTCTCTGGAACTTCTCATCTGACCTTGCTTCTCTCTCTGGGACTCAACCTACACTTAAGGCGATCATTCTTCTTCTGTCCGTTCTCAGCCTTTAGAATATTCTACAATAGTTTTACTACATTATCTCCAGAACAGAACAGGACATGGGAAGTTCCACTTGCTCAATGAGACAATGGACACGAAGTGCCTGAGGTAACTTATTCGCCATACACAATAAGAAAGTCTCCACATCAGAGAAGACCTGAGGTTACCAGACCTGAATTCGACCAACAGTCCTAAATTTATGTGATGGCATCCTGCTGTGTGTGCTGGGGATGCAGAGACAGGAGAATCACTGCACCAGAATAAGCTGAGACGTGATGGGGAAGACGAGACACACACACAGAAGGCAGCTCAGTGTTAAGCTGAGATACAGAGTGCCAGGAGAGTTAGTAAGAAGATTCCTCCCTGGACAAGCAGGGAGGAGGGGAGATCTGGTCTTTTCTAAGAGTGTACACAGGAATTCCTACCTAAGAACAGACAGGACCACGGCCATCCGAGATGGAGGGAGTGGGCAGGGCAGGCAAAAATGGTTTAAATAAATGTATAGAGAAGGGCGGGCAAGGGCGAGCAGTGTGTCCAGTGGGTTCCAAGCTGGATGGAAGGGCACATCCTGGCATGTTCTTATGAGCCAGGCCAGAGGTCTCTGGTTCTTGTGCCACAGGGAAGGTCACTGATGGCTTGAGAACTGAACTTTAAGGGTTAATAACGCTGTGGCAAAGGGAAGAATGAATCAAAAGACAAGAGCCTGGGGACACCTGGGTGGCTCAGTGGTTGACCATCTGCCTTTTGCATAGGGCATGATCCCAGGGTACTGGGATCCAGTCCCCCATCAGGCTCCCCATGGAGAGCCTGCTTCTTCCTCTGCCTGTGTCTCTGCCTCTTTCTCTGTGTCTCTCATGAATAAATAAAATCTTTTAAAAACAAAGAAAGAGTCTGGAGGGGATTCTGACAGAAAGTTAGTGCAGCATCATGGGAAAGAAGCCATTTATTCACTGAACAAACATTCGAATATCTATAATGTTGGAAAGAAGTTCTGAGGGATGCCTGGTTGGCTCAGTTGGCAGAGCACACAACTCTTGATCTCGGGGTTGTAAGTTCAAGCTCCAGGTTGGGTGTAGAGATTACTTAAAAATAAAATCTTAAGGGGTGCTAGCTGGCTCAGTCGGTTAAGTGTCTGACCCTTGATTTCAGTTCAGATCATGACCTTAGGGTTGTGAGACTAAGCCCCATGTCAGTGCCTAGCACGGAGCCTGCTTAAGATTCTTTCCCTCTCCCTCTGCTCCTCCCCACTCCCTAAAAAAAGAACAATAATTAAAAAAAATAAAATCTTAAAAAAAAAATAGCAGCTCTGAAATCAGACTGAGGCCAATGAGAACAGAAGGGAACAGAGCAAAACATTATGGTAGAACCAACAAATTTTTGGTTTATGAAAAATTCATCTTTTGCTGTTTATGGCAAAAACAGAGAAACACCTTCAGTAGAGATGATGCTCATAAATACATATACAATCACACTGAGTTTTCCTGTTGCTGTTTAGAGTCAGGTTGGATGCTCAGAGACTAAGGCAGCCTGCCTTCTGGTCCCTAAGACAGGATCATTTGCTAAATTAGCCTGTCTGCCACCCTTTCCGCTGGCTGCCAAGTTCGACACCCTTCCGGCTATGAGGGCCGTACCCAGCTGGAATTCCTAATTTCCATTTGTTACAGATCTGGTACCATCACTCAGCCAGAACGTGTCAACATGTCCTTGACTTAGGATCTCCTCTGTGAGACTAGATTGCAGGCAAAGAGAAGAGTCCAAAACTGTGCTCAGACCAGAACGTTTAGGACTAGAGATCGACGCCTGTCACTGGATCCAGATTTGATAAATCATAGTTTTCATGCTTCCAAGCAACATGGTATCACAATAACCCACGGACTCATTATGTGTAACTGCTCTTTGGAGATACTAACTGTGCAGTAGTCCATTTACCCTGAAGAGAGCCAGGAATGCCATTTGTTAAGATCCCTGGGGTTTGGGCCCCATGGGATACACCTGAATCCTGACACCACATTTCCTCTTATGACATAGGCCCTAAGCCACGCAAGCTGCCTCTTGCTTTCCTCTGAGCAAAAGGCCTATCAAGAGACAGCACAGGATATGAAAGAAAAAATTCACAGCCAAATCAAATGCCTACGTTAGCTCTTGGGTGAAAGTGGAGGCTGAAACAAGCCTTACCGAGAACTGTCCAAGAAGCAGGAGTCATTCCCCTGAGAGGAGCTGATGGAGTGACAACCAGGAAATGAAGCAGAAAGCAGGGCAGTGAAAATCTACACAGATACTCCCAGAGGGAATAACCACAGCAAGGAAGTGGTTTGGAGACACTAATGTGGCCAGAGTACAAAACACTGCATGTATAGTCTCTAATGAGGATTAGGAGGGGTGCTATGAAGAAAAATATGAAAAAAAAAAAGACCCTGGATTTCCAGGGTATCCACATATATGGCTTTAGCAGTTTTAAGAGTCAGTGACAATATCAAGGCTTTCTTGTGACCCTGGGTAATGGAGCTGGGTCTAGGACCCTTTACTACGCAAAGTAGAGAAGCATGTCATGCACAGGAAGAGCCAACAGAATGTGTCCAATATTTGCCAAGATAATGAACAAGTTCCTCCTAAGCATCCTTATGTAGTTCTTGATCATGGCATCGTACAAGATGGCATTCTTAAATCAGTTCACAAATGTGTGCTCATTAGGTTGCTAATGGCCAGGAGTGAACTCTGGAGAAACTTCAGGAATCAGGAGAGCAGAAATATGTCTCAAGAGATTATAAGGAGATAATGATACAAATGGAAGACCTGGGCTGGATGGTGATCAAGGCCCAGGTGTACGCCAGAGCAGCCGGGCAGGAAGCAGTGTGGGAAAGGATTCTGGAGCTGTGTCCTGCTCCTTGTCTCTGGTTCCTTTGGGGTAATCAGTGAATTTCAAGTTGTGGCTCTAGATTTTCTAGGTCAGGACAGGAACCTGGCAGCTCTTGGTTATGGTAAGAAGAGTAGCATCTCATGGAACTGTTGGAACACAAGCTATACCTGCTACTGGGACATAATGCCACCCTAAGACTTGGTAAATGGTGACAACCTACAGTGAGCTGACTCAATTTCTCCAGTGACACCTTGTCCAAATAAACACCAGAAATGGAACACGGCAAGGAATCGATGGCCACAGAGAGGTGTCTGACATCTCAAGTCTAGTACATTCTCAAATATCTTTTTCTTTTTTCTCTGCTGCAGCTACAGCACAAAGAGGGAAAGGTAAAATTCAGTGACCTGCTGCTTCTGCTTAGTGACCTCTGCTTCTCTCTCAGAGCAGAACGGCTGACCACTCCTGGCTGCATCCCTGCAATGCACCTCCCACGATGCTGCTCCCGTGCAGCAGTCACACCCCTCACAGTGGTGGATAAACTCAAGTGTGCACCAGAAAACACCTAGAGGGGTTGTCAGAACTGAGTGCTGTGTTCCACCGCAATCTCTGATTCAGAAGGACTGAAAATGTGCGTTTTGAATGAGTTCTCACGTGAAGCTGGTCTGAGCAATGCATTCTGAGAACCAGCCCCAAAAGATACCTTGCTTTCATAGCTGTTCAGTGGAATTTTGATCAGAGAAGCTGGTATTAAAAACTAACTGGGGATACCTGTCACTAGTGATCAGTGGGACAGGCTGCCCAGGCAGAGTGTCTCTCTCACATTTTGTGAAAATACACAATCCCATTCTTTTTTATTTGCAACCAAGGCTTATTCAGAGATCTATGTGAGCATCATTATCTGGCCTCCAAGTACACATCTCTTGCTCTCCTGGCATAGCTACCAATATGAGGCTCACCTCACCACTCCCTGTGTATAGAACCTAACCCCAGGAAGGCTCTCGTCTGTCTCCCCAGGGTTAAACAGCCATGCTTCTCAAGATGCTCCTGAGGGCAGAGCAGTACACTAAAGATCTGCCCTCAGTTTCCTCCAGCTGAGCAGAGGAGCCTCAGGGATTCTGAAAATGTCTCATCTGAAAGTGTTTTTACTGTTTACCTATGTGGAAAAAAATTTAATGCTGTGAAACCAAAACAGGAAATAAATTAGATATAGCTACTCATAAGGCTGTGCCTACCATCCAAATCTGATTTCAAATTTCATGTTCCTCAAACTTCCTGGTTATTCTGATTATAAAAATGCTATACATTTGAATTATACAAATAAAATACCACGTAAGACTTTTTTTCTTTAACTAGTTGTTCTAATTTGGTGTAATCATATAAGGTTTTTTGTTTTTAAAGATTTTATTTATTTATTCATGAGAGTACAGAGAGAGAGAGAGGCGGAGACACAGGCAGGGAGCCTGATGTGGGACTCGATCCTGGGACTCCAGGATTGTGCCCTAGGCCGAAGGCAGGCACTAAACAGCTGAGCCACCCAGGGATCCCCATATAAGGTTTAAAAAAAAAAAATCTATTTAAATAAAAAAAATGAAAATCACTAGATTTAAGCAAAGCCAAATAAATAGGGCATTGATCACTTGTACTACCAGTCACTTAAAAAAAAGCTCTGAGCTTCCTGGGGTGCTCTGCCTAGCACCACTAACCATCCCCCAAATCCTTTCACTGTTTAAATTTCCTGGCTTATTACAGCCATGGAGCTAATCTTTCCAGAGAAAAAGACGAAAGGAAACACTTCAGTTGCTGACCTCTTTCCTCAAATCTGAAGCCAACCTGATTAGCAAGGACTGCAGCACTATGATGGATGGCCACTATGGGTCTCCACTCTTGTTCTAATGATATTTCTAAATGACAGGCTAGGAAGGGAGGAGCAAGATGCTTAAGTGTGTTCTACTCCCTTTGTTATTTAAATTAGGATTCCCCCCCCCCACCATGGAGGCAGCTACATGGTTCTTCTTTCCAACAAAAATGCAGTCAAGTTACTGAGAAAAGAAAAGCAAGTCAAAGATTATTGAACAAATCTAAATAAAAGCCCACTTTGTTAAATAATTACCTAACTTCGTAAATGCCAATGACAAATGGTGTTGAGCAGTTTTTCAAATCTTTAACTGCCGGTTTTTCAGCAGAAGCCAGCATCCTTGGAGAAACCAGCACTAAAAATTGTGCAGTCCACTGCAAAAAGCTTGCTCAGAATATCTAAGGGGTGACATTATTTTGCAGAATGAGTAGCATCCAAGGCTCTCTTAGAATGTGAAGCACAGTCACATCATTTGTATCAGGGAGGGAAGAACTCCAGAAAGCTTTTGTGCGGCTGGGATTCCACACAGGGTCATTCTCTCTTTTAGGCTCTCTGAAGGTAGGGAACACCTAAAGGCAAGATCTTATTCATGATCCTTATACTTAGAAGATAAAGAGAAGATAAAGCCATTCACACTATTTATGTGTAACAACAAACATTATTTACCAAACAACTTAAACTGCTTAAGTCTGATCAGAGAATTCATTACAGAAGCAAAGGAGAATGAACTCAACTTGAATATTTCAAATGGAGAGAACAATATAAGTAAAGCCCAAAGCCATGGAGATAGAAACTAGCTCATGAGACTTTAGATGGACTGAGCCAGCCAGGCAGGGAGAAATGAAGTTTTGATTCCATCTAAAGTTGACAATGGCTGCAAGATTCAGTTTATATACATCCCTTTACGGTTTCATACTGGCTCAAAAAAAAAAAAAAAAAACGTCTAAGGGTCTCCTCCAAGTCTACCAAAGCCACCCCAACATCATCTCTTTCAGCAAGTACAGATACTGTCTTTTTTCTAAAACCAAGTCCTTGTTAGTATAGGTAGAAAATGCTCTTTCCCTTCTTCTTTGAAGAAAGAGCACCTCCAAAATAATTTTTCTGCTCAAACATGGTGTCATATTTAAATATGTAAATTAGGGAAAGAGCCTGTTTTAGAAAAACTGGAGAAGGCTCCCGAAGTCTCCCCAACTCTCAAACAGTTCTCAGCAGAGGCTAGAGGGTTGTGGACTATCTAGGTTTAATGGCTTTTTCTTAATCAGCTCTGCTAGCAGAGTGATTCTTTGGAAAATATGTTCTCATTCTCTAGATATGATACCTGAAGGCCATAAATGGCCAAGTTCAATTTATTTTAAGGTTTTTCCCTTATGTCCATGTGATTGCAATATATTATTCAACCCACATGGTGTATTTAGAAAATACTCATTTCAGGAAGGAACACCAAACAAATCTTGAGCAGGGAAATATCAGAGAGGCTATGAGATTATGCTGGACAGTCCAGGAACCATTACTCCCCTTAGTCAAGCAGACTGTTCATGAGAGGGCTTCTGATTCCAACTATAAAATGTTTTGACAAATATAAGAACTAAACCCTGAGTCCATCTGTCCTATGCTCTACTTACAGTCTTCTGTTCCTCTATCTACTCCAAACTTGCCCTTTCGTGTCTTCTCAAACACTCTCAATGCCATTTTCAAAACAAACATTCCCTTGTTTCTGATATGGTTTGCATTTGCAATAGCTGTATTCTAATGAAATTTAAAACTCAAGTCATTTACTCAAGGAAGAAACTCAATTGTTTTCATGAGATTCATGATCTGAAATAGAGGTTAGTGGGATCCCAGGTTGAATTATATTTGCATTCTTGAAGTGGGCAAAGTTCTCAGGAAAAACAAAATAGAAGTTTAGTTCTTCAAAAGCTGACATCCATCCTTTCTAAACCACTCTAAACTTTCTAGAGTCAAAGACAGCTCAGACCCTGCTAGCACCATGGTTATACCTCACAAAACAAATGAAGGGCCCCAAAGCTATTTCTAACTGCTGTGTTCTCCTCCAGCAAAAAGTGCCAAATCCTGCTTTCCCTCATTCCGCACCTCCTAGCTACTAGAGTCATGAGAAAGAAAGAGAAGCAAACTTACCTAACATCTCTGCCTTTAGCCTTTCATTACGTTCTTCAATCTGCTTAGGTAATCTCTGAGGGGAAAAAAGGAGAAACAAGGGTTGGTGAAAAATCTTTTGGCTTTATTTTCAATCTGAAAAACAAAAACTTAATGTGAAAGTCAGATCAGGTGATGTACATATATATGATCCTATTAAATACAGAAAAAAAACAAGTATTTGTGAGGGAGATACACAAACACAGGAGCCTTGTTCAGTTCACTGCTATATTCCCAGTTCTGGGCACAGTGGCCTGGGGAGGACCTCTATAAAAATCTGATAATACAGACAAAAACATTTCTGAAAGAATACATTCCAGATGTTTACAGTAGTATTTTTAGGTGGTGGGATTATGGGTCATATATCTTTAAATTTTTGGCTGATTTGTATTCTTTAACTGGAAGTCCTTTCTTACTATAATCTAATTTGTTGAAAATGATCAGATCAATATTGGATGTTCCTAAATGATCACCAAATTCAAGGTTTTCAATCTTGGCACTACTGATATTCTAGCTACGTAATTTTTTGTTGCAGGGGGGAGAGAGGCGAGGGCTGTCTTGTGCATTATAGGAGGTTTAGAGGATCCCTGGCCATTATATGCTAAGAGTATCACTCTAGCCAAGACAATCAAAGTAAACATCCCTGGAAACCAAATCATCCCACTTGAAAACCACTGATCCAGATTAGAGTCTCATACGGCTGCTTTTAGTTCTGTAACTGGCCCTAAGTACTTGCAATTTTAATAACAATCCAGATATAATAATTCAAAATAAAATAAATTCTTCATGCACATAACAACTAATATAAAAGGCTTCCTTTTAGAAGGTTTAAAACTAATGTGATCACAATAGAGAGGCCACCAAGAATTTGGCCAAGATTTTAAGAACTCTATTCTCTTTCCTTGTTTCAAATTTAAGTAAATCCTACCACGCTTCAGAGATGTTAAAAGTCAAAGGATTAAATCTGGTTTCAAAATGCTTATGTGTTTTAATGATCCAAACCAGTCTGTCTTCTATTATTCCATTTCTAGATAAATAAATAATCAGTTATTAGTAAAGGAGTTCATCTCAAGTGTGTGTAAAAACAAAACCCAAACCACCTAAGACATTAATGCAGAGCAATTAGTCAATATTTCTCAGGTCTGAAATGAGTGGGAAATCCTACATAGCAGAGGCTCAAATGCTCTCAGCAGCCACACAGGATACGTAAATAAGGAAAGGATTCCACGTTATGGGCAACAAAGAGTGATGTGGTCAGTGGTGAGCTGGAGAGTTCCAGGCGAATGCCAATACACAGCAGTTCAAGAAGGACCCAGAAAGTCCACATCTAGGTCCCAATTTTTTTTAAAAAAGATTTTATTTATTTATTAATGAGAGAGAGAGCGAGCGAGTGAGTGGCAGAGACACAGGCAGAGGGAGAAGCAGGCTCCATGCCGGGAGCCTGACGCGGGACTCAATTCTGGGTCTCCAGGATCATGCCCTGGGCTGAAGGCAGCACTAAAGCCACCCGGGCTGCCCCTATCTCCCAATTTTTAAGAAGAATCTGATTTAGATTTCCATCTAGTAAAATCTTCTAATTTTTAAATGCTGGTTTCAATTAAAAACAAAAACAAAAAAGTTTGGCTTAAATAAAACAGATCTGTAGCTTCCCTTCCCCCTTGTCTGCTGGAGGCCTGTGATCTGTGCTGTGGGCTGGTGTTCACGACACCCCTCTCCATCCTGATGGCTCTCTGAAAAGTCTGGCAGTGAAGAAATCTGTTTAATGAAGTCAGTGTTTGTTGAATTTATTTGAACATCCACTATATTGGGGCAATAACATTTACACATCTGATTCTGTAGCATATCTTTTAGAGTATATGCTGCTCTGCATCTTAAGAGATAAAGAGTACGTTAAAGCTAGATGCACAGATCTGGAGTTAAAAAAATTAATTTGTGATTTTTTTTTTTAAAGATTTATTTATTTTAGAGAGAGAGAAAGAGTATGGGTAGGAGAGGCAGAAGGGAGAGAGAGAGAGAATCTCAAGCAGACTCCCCGCTAAGGGTGGAGCCTGAAGTGAGGCTCAATCTCCTGACCCTGGGATCATGACCCCAGCCGAAATCAACAGCTGGATACTCAGCCAACTGCATCACGTAGGTGCCCCTGGAGTTAAAAGTTTTTAAGGGGAGAAAACCAGTAACATTTAGCTAATTGACAACAGACATAAGAATATTATGACATTTATTAAAAGCAAAACCTGTAGTGCCATGGACAAGAGTAAGAGTAATTTTAAGGTAATAGGGCTAATCTGGAATATATTTAATTAGAAATAGGCTGGCCATATGATAGTAAATAGAAACTTGGCAACTGAAAAGGATGGGCAGAAAACCAGAAGTTTATTACCTGTAACACTGAGACTCATTTTGGACTAAACTGTACAATTATAGTGCAAAAAATTTCCTTAGTCCAACAATGAAACAGTTCTTATTAATCCTATAGATTAAAGGTTTGCACAATTAAGGCTTACAGAGTGGAAATTAAATTGTACATGGTCACAGAGGGTCTGTGACCACCACTTCAAAGTTAGATCTCCCATATATTTTGATAAGCCCTTAAAAATATGTAAATGGAAAAAAATATATAAATGGAAGGTAGTTGGGTCCCAAAGGATTACTTAAGATTCAATGAGTAGCAACACAGGCACAAGCACAAAAAATATTTTTTAAAAATTAGGTTTACCATGCAAGCTTCTCTTGCTTGATATACTGATGGATCTTTTTCTAATATGGATTTATAGTCCTCCAGGGCTTCATCTAGCTTGTCAGTTTTTTCGTACAACTCTGCTCTCCTCAATATTGCCCTGATATAGTTGGGGTTTAACTGAATTGCTGTAAAAAGAGAAGATATCATTGTTATCATGAAGAAAAAGGGCCTGCACATCCCCAGCTATATTGTGTTTCTTTATTAACCATCCTCCAAGGGTCTAAAAGGAAGAGTCATTTGTCAAATGCTACAGCTGGCACTGGCAAACATTTTCTGTAAAGGGCAAGACAATAAATATTTTCCACTTTGCAGGACAGACCATCTCTGTCACAACTACTCAATCCTGCTTCTATAGCACAAAAGCAACCACAGATGATGTATAAGTAAATCAAGATGGCTGTGCTCTAATAAACCTTTGTTTATGGATACTGGACTTGGAGTTTCACATAATTTTCCTATGTCACAAAATACTTCTCTTTTGATTTCCAAGCATTTAAAAATGTAAAAGCCATTCTTAACTCATGCACTGTAACACAAGCAGGTGGAAGGCTGGATATGACTTGTTGGCTGTAGTTTACTAAATCCAGGTCTACACCCAAAGTCCTATTTTCACATACTTGCCCTTCATCTAGTTCAGAACAGGCCAGAACACGGAGCCCATGTGTATGGTGCAGAAGTGAGAGAGAATCTGAAGGTACAAATTAAGAGTTAAGGGGAAACCATTTGGTGGCAGACTCTATCATTCTCTTTTTCCTAGGCCTCAACAAGTGAGCTTATGCCATGACTACTGAGGTTACATTTTTAGCTAAAACCTCATTGTTCCTTCAGACTTCTATTCCAACACCTTAAGGTCACCAGTGCATAATATCCTTTATTTTATCAGCGATGACTGTCCTAAAAAACCCCTGGGCCATGTTTTGGATCAACTATACTGCATTTCTCCTATTCCTTTTAATTGTTTATTTTTCTGTCAAAAATCAAGGTCATGGCTCTAGAACTTTTTCCTTCAAGTAATATATTCAATTTTTATTCATATCTGTTTTCAGTAACTATTTCTTTACTACCTAATAGATGTACCTCACGTAGTGTATCTCTAGAGTATAGTGGTAAACAAGACAGACAAGGTCCTCCGACTCATGAAGCTTTAAGCTATTCTAATAGGCAAAAAGCAGACAGCATACAGATATGTCATTTCAGACCGTCACAGTGCTCTACATAAAAATAAAACAAGATAAGTAAATGCAAATGAAGGGGGAAATAAGGTAACCTCAGAGAGTGGTCAAAGACAGTGAAAAGGGAATATCTGAGGGAGAGCAGCCATTTGAAAGGAGTGTACCAGAAAGAGGGACCAACAAGAGTAAAGGCTCTAAAACAGTAATGACATCGGCATGTTAGTGACAAAGTTCAGGGCTGGGGAAGGGGTAAAACTGAAGATACACACAGACCAGATCATGGAGGCCTTGTTGGCCAGGGAAAGGAGCTGATACTTTTTCCTAAGTGTGATGAGAAGCCACTGGAATGGTTTCAAGTAGACAGACTAAAGGCATCATCTAATTTACAGTTTTAAAAGATCCTTCTGGCCGCAGCATGGAGGGCAAGAATGAAAGCAGTGAGGCAGCTGGCAGGCTACTGCAGTGGTCCAGATAACAAAAAATGTTGGCTAAGCTGATAATTGTGGAGAGGGATTGAAAAGGCCAGACTGAGTATATGCCTTTGAATTAGAGCCCATAGGACATGCTAATTCATTTAACCATGTGGAATGAAAGAGAATAAACGAGTGGATGGTAATGCCACTTTTAAGAATGGAAAAACCGAACTACAAGTTGTTTGTGGGTATGTAGGAGAGTGGACTGAGGAGGCCTCAGTCTGTTCTGGGCACCTCAAATCTTCAGTGCTTAAGCAGACATCCAAGAATCTTGAGATGTCAAGTTTGCAACAGGACACAGGGGTGCAGACCAAAGGGAAGAGCTGAAGATATAAACTCCAGCATACAGATGGCATTTAATGTTTAAGAACTGGATGATATCACATAAGGAAAATTTATAGAGAAAAAAAAAGAAGAGGGCCCTATGTGTGATTAAGATCTAGCAACTTTAAAAATGTCAAGAATAATGATTGAGAAGCCAGCAAAACTAAGAAGGAATAGCCAATGAAACAAACAAACAAACAAAAAAGAGGAATGATACAGTGTTATTAAATGCAAGTAAGAAAGAGAGGATAGAGAAGCAACTATTGAGTTGAGCAAGATCAAGTGGTGGATGACCTTTACAAGGGAAGTTTCCCAGTGCTATGGATGGAACAGAAGCCTAATGGATGTGGAATGAGAGAATGGGAGAAGACAAAATAGACATAGCAAGCACAGATAATTATTGTGATGAAGAGGGTCAGAGAAATGGTACACTAGTTAGTGGGGGATACTGTTTCAGGAGAAGGTTTTCTGAAAGAAGAACCCAAATCCCATAACATTTCAACTTTACATGCAGTCAACCTCCCCTTAGTCTGGTACATCACCTTCTCTTAAAATATTCCCAACTGCAATATCATAATATCCACAGGAAAAGTTCTCCAGTGACCTCTACTACATCTTTTTAAAAAACTCAACCCCCTAGTTTACATTTTAACCCAGACACTGCCTCCTTTTCAACTAGTGGATAAATTCTAATAATGCAAATATATATTGAAGAGAAATAACTTGTCCCAAGATCACTTTATAAAAACCTCTAAAATCAACACAACACCCTAACCATGTGATTTTTCTTTCCTGATCCATGTAAAGAGAATGAACTTAACTTTATGCCAAAACCAAAATGTCTAAGGTGAGTGACATTAAATACTAATATTAAATATTATTCCACATGACTAGTGCTAATGAGCTCCAATATGACCTCACAAAGATGCTGTTAAGTCTTATACCAAGAAGGTTTATGAACTGAGTGAGCCTTACATATGTATCTGGTGTGGGTAGGTAGTAAACCATACTACTGTCAATGGTTTTGCCTATGAGTACAATGTATACGGCTAATAATTACTATGTATAAACACATGAATATTAGTTTAAGCAAATCCAAAAACAAATCTCGAAAACACTTTCCTCTGCTTCCTCTCATTTTTGTACCCCTACACTTTGAGGTACAGCTGGAAATGAACTTTTTCCTGGTGTATGCCCTGCTAATCACGCTTAAAAGGCATTTTCGCATGATTTGGTTACAAAAAAAGGTCTAAACATCAGTAACTTGTTCCTAATTTAAACACTTCTAACCCACACATCTCACACAAATTAAGGTTGAACACCTTCTCTCCAAACAAAACAGCACATTCAGAATTAGTTCCAGCCCAAAATATAATAGATCAAAAGTACTTCGCTGGATTCAAAGGTACTAACAGTTTCATTCAGATATCAAGAAATACCAAATATCTCCAAGAAAGCCAGAAATAAGGTGATTAATTAATGTAAAGAAAAAAAAAAGAGGAATTCATGCCGAGCATGAGTAGGACTAGATAACATACAAAGTTCTTTCCAATTCTTTAATTTTCTCAGAGAAAATATTATCCAAAGATGGAAAAAACTGGAAAAAGAAATTACAAAAACTAGTAATTTTCTAGGAATTCCTAAGAGTAGTAGGATGCAAGGAAAAGTGTGTTCTCCAAACCAAGCTGGTCAGAAAGGCAAGACAATGGTCAGGCCTATCTGGAAACCTTTGGGGGAAAAAACCAAAACCAACCAACCAACAACCCAAAAGTGATCCTATGGCTGGGAGTGTCTCTATAAGTTGGTGGGACGAAGAGACTGTAATGAAACTCAGGTATGAGAGAGCAAAGTCTTGGTTCACTGTTTGGAACCTGAAGAGATAATTAAAATGATGGCAAGTGGGTCTGGAAGAATTACTGCATGTGAAGAGAGTCCCAATTCCCTAACAGAAGCTGCCCCTCCGATAGCCGCCCCCCTCTCCACAAACACACAGATCCAGATGCCCTAGCAACAGCTAAGAGCTTCAATTTAAATCCCCAAGGAAAGTAATTTAGACACTACATACAAGTAAATTCTGTTCCATGAGTTCTGTTGCCAAGGCAGCTTTGAATTTTTCTTCACATATTCACTAATACAGGGTAAACTGACAGAACTTTCCATTTAAAAGTGTGTTTATGCTAAGATGACTACTATACAGTACCTCTAAGAAGGCTGAACTATAAAGCTGCTTCTTTAAAAGTCCCAGAGTAAGGGATACACATGTACAAGTAGAGTTGACCCTTGAACAATGCAGGGGTTAGGGGCGCTGACCCCCAACCCCCATGCAACCAAAAATCCACATATACTTTTTGATCCCCCAAAACTTAACTACTAATAGCCTACTGTTGACCCAAAGCCTTACCAGTAACAGTTGATTAGCATGTACTCTGTATGTTATATTTATTATACACTATATTCTTATAGTAATAGAAGCTAGAGAAAAGAAAATGTTAAGAATAAGAAAATCGTAAGAAAAATACATTTAGAGTTCTTTACTGTATTTATTGAAAAAAAAATCCATGTATAAGTAGACCTATGCAGTTTAAACTCGTGTTGTTCAAGGGTCAACTACACACATTTGACTGACTGTATTTGCTCAGCTGAGGTAATGCTCTTATATGTTAACATATAACAAGATTAAAAAGTTATACCTTTGTTGCAGTCACTGATGGCCATCTCTTTCTTGTCCTAAAAGGAAATAAAACATTATTATGTGTCACCCTAGTTTAATCTTAATGGCCCAAAGGCTCAATGACATAAGCTGATCATTAATAACTACTTATAGAGATACATAGTACTCTTAAAAGAAATCACATGAAAACACGAATGTTACTTCCAACCTAAAATTCAAAATGTGACAGCTCTGAAGTGAAAGCTTCCTAGCAACAAATTATTCAAGTAGTTTCTTCCTAACATCTTTAAAGACTGTTGCAACTGATCTATTAAATTTGCAAGGCACTTCGCATTAGAATGGTGATATTGAGAAAAAATTATCAATAAGCAGAGCAAATGACTGATATATGAATAACTGTTCATAACTCCCCTCTCTGGCTAGCTGTTGTATTATCACACCCAAAGTGGTATCTTCCACAAAGTATACAGAGGGCCCATTAGAGACATGGAGTGGCTTGTCATTAGTCTGTTACAAAATTTTTTTTAAGATTTTATTATTTATTTGAGAGAAAGAGAGCCAGCAGGGGGAGAAGAGGGAGATAATCTCAAGCAGACTCTGAGATCATGACCTGAGCAGAAACCAAGAGTCAGACAGTTAACTGATGAGCCAAAAGGCACCCCCTTGGTTGTAAATCTTAATTTCTCCATTGATACAAAAATACAAAATGATTCATGAAATAAGATATCTAATTTACCTCGCTGAATCTAGAAGCATGGGAGAGTGAGAAGAACACTGGATGCCAAAAGAACTAGACTGTAATTCCAGCTCTAACACTAGCCTACTATTTAACTCTTCAAGCTCTAAAATGTCTATTCTCCCCCCAATTATAAGTTTTCTACCATATTACAGAAATATGAATTCAAATAAATATTCAAAACTGGGTGGCTCAGTCAATTGAGGATCTGATTCTTGATTTCAGCTCAGGTCATGATTTCAGGGTCATGAGATCACCCCATATCAGGTTTTACACTCAGCAGGGAATATGGTTGAGATTCTCTCCATCCCTCTGCTCTTCCCCTTTCTCACATGCACTAATAAAGAAATAAATATTAAAAAAACAAAGAATAAATGTTCAATACTTCCCATAATGGCTATTGAAAATATTAATATTTTGCACAATATTTCATAGCAATGTCTAACAAATTGTTTTTTAGAATTCATCCAAAATTTCAGGTGGGGAATGATTATCTAATGGGTACTGCATTTCCTTTTGCAGTCATGAAAAAGTCCTGGAACCAGACAGTGGTCATGGCTGTAAAATATTGTCAACACATTTAATACTGAATTGTATAGTTTAAAATGGTTACAATGGTAAATTTTATATCATTTGCATTTTACCCATAGCAAACAAAAAAGGTTCCAGAGTGATATGGGAGGCACTAACTATATTATATCTCTTCCAATGTTCATCATTAACAATTCACATATTAAAAGCTCTATGAAGTTCTGTAGTAAAGAAATCTGTGTAACTTTGGATAACTCAGTATTTTTCCAATTTACCATATTTCTATAAATCTAAGATAATTTCATATTTTTAAAGTTTCTGAAACAGCAAATCTTTACAACTTATATGTACAACTGTTGTGGTGATATTCTTTGTGCTCCTAAGAGACCCACTAAGTTGCAGTACATCTTCTCAATAATCAGCCTCTGCAGATCAAGGAATTATGGTATTTTACTGCAGAACCCTTTGTTTAAGGTCATAGTCTACTAACCTCTCAGGGGACCCAGGTGTCTGTTGCTAAGAGTGGTAGTCTCCAAAGTGCCTATTTGCCATCCTTTCATAACTTATATAAGTTATAACACACACATACACACAAAACAGAATATATATATAACATATAAGGACAGTTTTTAAAACTTAGGGCCTATACTTTTAGGGCTTCATGTGCTCTTGTGCAGCCATTCTTAGAGCTGAAACTCTGTCCTAACTCAAGTTTGCCTTTTCTCTCCAGATGTGAAATGTAAAGCTTGGCCGGGGTCACTCAGTCAGGGATGCTGAGCCTGCAAATGTGCCTTTCAGAAATTCTTGTTAAAGCAGTTAACGCACCACTCCTTGAAAAACTCAAAATATGCTCCTTAAATCACTTCAGTGTATTAATCCTGCAAGTTTTTATCGCTAATTATCGAATCTTTTTAAAACATTAAGAGTACAACTTAAAAGAATAAAAGAAAACAAAACATGCACCAACTCTATCCTTTGTACAGGAAACAGTCATAGAACAACTCTCTTTTGAGTTCTCCTCGGATGTGACAGACAAAAGACCAGCAAGACCATACATTTTCCTAATTCAAGAAAACTGGTCAATTATGCGAGCTCAACCCAGGCAGTATCAATAACTTGGCAACTGTGGAAACAAAGAATTCCAAGTACCAGAAGCCAAATGGGATGATGCCTTTTCTTTGAAACTGAAGATATCCCAGATCTCATTTCACAATGACAATTTCCAGTCTGAGAATGTGGCCAGCCGTCTCCAAGAAGCAAAAGCAAAAGATAAGATTGTTCCAGCTAAGTGTGAATTCAGATCAGTGGTAGAATATATTAATGAATATTGTTCTAAGTAAACTTAAAACAATTGTTTTATTTCTTCTAACACAAAATGTCTGTATACAATTATTTCTTCTCCCATTCACACGAATAACTCTAAAAACACTTCACCTTAGAAGCTGAATCCAATAATAAAATATTTAAGTTTAAACATACAAAAAGATCCCCCTTTCCTCAAATCCAATTATTCAAGTATTCCCCAGCCCACTCCCTTTTTTTTGAAAAAAAAATTCTGGTCATCAAAAGTGACTTTGGTAGAGGCACTAGAGAATTTCATGTAACAAGAGAAAGTGACATAAATATCTCTTCTAAACAAACAAAAAACCACTTAACCCAATCTTGATTGTGCTTTGTGGTTGCTTAAAGGTATGCTAAACAACCTACTCTTGGTGCTTTGGATATAAATAGCCATATTTAAATAAGTGGTAATGTTTTTTTCAAAACTCACATTTCAATCCATTGAAACCATGTTGAATAGTCAGTCCATAGGAATAGCAGACAAATCAACACTGAATCTAACTTTTGTTTTTATTTATTAAAAGATTTTATTTATTTGACAGAGAGAGCATGCGAGAGCTCAGGCACTCAAACATATTGGGGAAGGGACAGAGGTGGAGAAGCAGACTCCCATTGAGCAGGTAGTCCTGCAGGGGACTCAATCCCAGGGTCCTGGGATCATGACCTGAACTGAAGGCAGACACCTGACCAACTGAACTCCCCAGGCACCCAAAATCTTAGTTTTAACACTAATATGGCACAAAACAAATACAACTGCACTCTCCTCTACATTAACTGTTATGCTAGGTCTCAATCCTTTGGAAATACAAAATGTTTTTGAACTTTCCCTAACACCTATTCTACATTTAGGAGCACCTCTCATCCCAACTGTTGGTACATTTCTCCCTGTGTCCATACTTTTGACAGAAAATCACAATCCTAGCAATAAGCATTTTGAAGTTCAGAGTTTTAATCGGTATTTCCCTCTCTTTGAGTCTTTATCTAGAATTCCAGAGGCCTAAAATAAGCAGGTGCAGCTATTCTAGGACACGTACTACTTGACTTTTTGCTTCATTAACCTGCCCTAGTTTGGTGGAGACTTTGTCAGCCTTCCTTCCTCCCATGAAAGCGTTCAAACAGCTACTCTAATAAGAATGTTGGCAGTAATCTGACTCAAGTTTTTCAAGAATACTTTTCTATCTTCCATATGACCTTTACATCAGGGAAATACATGGGCAGGAAAAGGGAGGCAGCAACTTTAAGCCTCTATGCTAGGTTTTTTTTTTTTTAAAGATTCTATTTTTAAGTAATCTCTACATCTACTGTGAGGCTCAAACTCACAACCCCAAGATCAAGAGTTGCAGCTCCTCTATTAGTTTTGAGATAGAAGCTACCCAGGGCACCAAGGTGGCTGACAGAGGTAAGCTTCTGCCTTCAGCTCAGGTCATGATCTCAGGGTCCCAGGACTGAGTCCAACATTGGGCTCCCTGCTCAGTGGGGGTGGGGGGAGGTCTGTTTTTCCCTCTCCTTCTGCCCACTCCCCCTCATGCTCTCTCTCAAATATATAAATGAAATCTTAAAAAAAAAAAAAAAAAGAGAGAGCGGGAGAAGCTACCCTATGAAAACACTGTATGTAAGTTCATGAGCTTCTTAAACAGGTGAAAGATACATACCTGTTTCATCCTTGCAGCAGCTCTATTTGAAAACAGAATAGACCTGTCTTTCTGGAAGCAAGATGGGCACATCTGAAGGGCTTGACTATAAGAACTCTCAGCTTCTATATAATCTGAGAATAAGGTAAAAGATGAGAGGTCATTATGATTTTATTCCTCGTATTACTGTATTCCATAGTATCTCAGAATACATAGCTTTCCATTCACAGAACAAAGGTCTCAAGTAGAATGTTCTGTATATTTAACTTTCACTTGGCTTATCAATTTAGTAAGCAATACTGAAAAGGGATTAGAGAACTGGACAGATGAAAGAGACTAAAGTCTGGGATTAATGGCTTGGGATAAAGAAAAAAATTCTATGTATGTATTTTCATTAAAGATGCTGTGCTTTCATGGAGTCAGCCTGGCCAAAACTGCTTCTCTAAAATGTTTGGAGATATTTTATGGAGCTAAAAGCAACAATGTAAAAATCAGTGGTTGACTAAAAACCTTAGAAGAGAAAATGATGATAATTTTATTTATTTATTGCCACACACAGAATTATGGTAGGGGCACTAAAAGAAAATTGTTCACTCCTTTCTTAGGTTTGAAATATTTAACACTAAAATACAAAGAAATATGCTTTCAAAATAAAAACCATTAGTTTTGTGTTTTTTTTTAAGATTTTATTTATTTATTCATGAGAGACACACAGAGAGGCAGAGACATAGACAGAGGGAGAAGCAGGGTCCTCGCAGGGAGCCTGATGTGGGACTCGATCCCAGAACCTGGGATCATGCCCTGCGCCAAAGGCAGATGCTCAACTGCTGAGCCACCCAGGCATCCCAGAATCATTAACTCTTCGGGGAAAAGAAAAAAAGTGATGACTGCTAAATCGGATATAAGAAAAAAAATTTTAAGTCTAAAAAATTACTAGGGGATAGGGCATCTGGGTGGCTTAGTCATTTAAGCATCTGTCTCAGCTCAGGTCATATCCCAGGATCATCAGGTTCCCTGCTCAGCGGGGAGTGTGCTTCTCCTTCTCCCTCTGCCTCCTAACCCCTCTTCATGTTCTGTCTCTCTCTCTCTTCAAATAAATAAATAAAATATTTAAAAATAAATAAAAAATAAGGGAAATGTTACTACTCCTAGTTTTCTAAAGCATATACATTTTGATATGTTTCTAAAGCATATATACTTTACATATGTGATAGAAGGCTATTATAAGATCAAAGTTACCCAAATTAATCAAATGAACCCAAATTATTCCTAAGGAAATGTAAAAAATGCAGAAGGACATGAAGAACATCTCTCCACTTAAAAAAAGCACATAAAAGACCAGCCAAAGTATAAGCAAAATCCTTCCTTAGGCCATGCTAGAACCAGTGGGCCAATTTTTATAGCATTGTTCCAAGTGAGGAAGGGGGACCCTATTTTTATATCAATGAAGCAACCAACCTTTTAATGTTCCGGGTTAATTTTCCAAAGCATCAACTGAAGCTCTGTTCTCCTACCATCTAGATTGGTAATGGATTATAGAAAAGAAAAAGTATGCCTGTGCCAAGGGATATATGGCAAGCGGTCACCATCAGGTGAGAATGATCTGGACCTGCTGAAAACTGAAATTCCAAGTTGTTGGGAAACAACAATGTACTGTTAGCAGTTAGGATTTGCTAGCTGTATCTAAATGTATTTGGTGTTTCCTCACACTCTAAGACATAATGAGGAAACAAGATGACCAGACTGAGGGCTGAGACCAGTGCCTTACCTCCTTTTTTAAACTGCACATTTCCCTCCTCCTTTAGTCTAGTGCTCTCTTCTCTTCTTTTCTGCAAGAGATCCAACAATTATATCATTTTTCACAATATGTTAAAAGTGTACAAAAAGGTGAGCTTTCATTAGGCTACTTAATAGGCAGCAACTTGACTTTGTTGTTTGTGTTTTCCAACTTGACCTTTGAGAACTGGGTCAGTTTTATCTAAATCTCAAATAGATATAGAGAAACACATGGCCATCTGGCTAGTCATCCATTGCATTCTTGATGTTTAAAACACAAAACCTAGGTTTCCTATGTTTACAGCAATTCAGGTATCATTTAATTTCTATTTACTCAAAATCAAACTAAATGACATACCCACTGGCATGTACACCACCAATTCAAATTTTTAATCTGCTACTTATTAAATGTGTGTTCGTGGACAAGTTCCAGATCTTTCTAAGCCATGGTTTATCTAAAAAAATGGGGTTTTATAGTTTTATGGGTTAATGTGATAATACATATAAAGCTTCTAATACAGTGCCTGGCAAAGAGGGGCTCCATAAATATGAGCTATTACTTTTTTTTTTTTTTTAAAGATTTTACTTATTTATTCATGAGAGACACAGGGGAGAGAGAGGCAGAGACACAGGCAGAGGGAGAAGCAGGCTCCATGCAGGGAGCCCGACGTGGGACTGGATCCTGGGTCTCCAGGATCATGCCCTGGGCGGAAGGTGGCGCTAAACCACTGAGCCACTGGGTCTGCCCGAGCTATTACTTTTCTGTAAAATTAAAAAAAATAAATAAAATAAAATAAAAATAAAAAATAAATAAATAAAGCAAGCAAGCAAGTGGGTTATGTGGCTTAGGGTGTGAAGAAGATATCTGGTATGCCAGCAGAGTGCACTACAGGGAGCAAACTTCATCTGCAGGTTCAGGGCAATATTCTGTCAGCAGACCAACCCTGTGAAGTCTGAAGAAACCTAGACAATCTCTTGCTTCTGAGCTGCTTCTCACAACTCTGAAATTCACACAGATGGCCAAACACCCATTCTACTCAAAGGCAGGCAGAATGAGTGTTACTCTGCCGAGCAAAGATGGCACATGCTGAGTTCTTGTGTGCTTTCAGCCCTGAACATCTTAGCAATATGGTCGGCACAAGCAGCTGCCAGAAGTGTCTGCCTGCCTCCTTCCGAAAGAGCTTGAAAGGGGAGGGAGGGAGGGAGGGAGAGAGAGAGAGAGAGAGAGAATGAACCTCCATGAATCTCTTCCTTTATTCTTGAAGCTTCTGACTAAATAAAAACTTTAAAGGAAGGAAATATAGCCAGCAGGGTATTTCATGCACAGGAGAAGCCTGGAGCCTGAACAACTGGTCCTCTTAAGATTAGGAACCAAAGTAAAAATATTATGTCTTTGTAGATTTGTAAATATGCTGCTGAGACAAGGGTGTGTCCTAAATACTTTATTGTTACACGCTAGATGATGAATCTCAGTAAAGAAACTAAGAGGTAGGTATAAACTGAATCTCATTTTTATAGTATCTACTATGTGCCAGCTGTATGGCAGATACAGTATTTTAGATACAACTTCTGGAACAGAGCTATTCTAAGGGAATGTGAAAAAATAATAAATAAGTAGTGATGGGAATAAAAAAAAAGAATATGGTCACATTTACTTAGTATTACCTAGGTCAGAGGTGCTAGGATATAACGTTCTCTAACGGAAGCAAAAAGACTACATCTTAGGTAAAAAAAAAAAAAATAATAATAAAAAATAAAATAAAATAAAATTTAAAGAGGGAAGATTCACTGGAAAGATATTGGGGGCTCACAGAATCACCGGGAGACCTAAAACACAGGCTCAGAATAAAAAGGGACTCAAGGTAGCTCTGTTAAGTCCAGAAACAAGAAAGCATTATCTTTTAATGGAGGAATCTGGCCAAGACAGAGCTGTAATAGTAGTAAATAAATCCTAACCATTCCCTTTTCTTTGCCCTAGTTGAGATTCAAAGTCTTGGTTGGAAGCATCTAGCCAAGCATCACTCATATGCCTTGGCTCTCAGCGAATGGAATGAGGAATATGGGGTACTGTCCCTGAATAAGATTACAATGCAGGGAAGTTCCTTCAGATAAGAAGGGGAGTTGGATTCTAGAAGCCAAGAAAACCCTGTAACAAATCCAGGTCAGAGTTATTTCAAGACATACAGATGACTAAGAGACACATAAAAAGGTGCTCAATATCACTAATCAGCAGGGAAATGCAAACCAAAATCACAATGAGACATTACCTTGTATCTGCTAGAAAGGCTAAAATCAAAAAGATCAGAAATAACAAGTGGTGAGGACGTGGAGAAAAAGGAACCCCTGTGCACTACTGGTGGGAATGTAAATTGGTATAGCCTCTGTGGAAAAGAGTACAGAGGTTCCCCCTCAAAAAATTAAAAATAGGGATCCCTGGGTGGCGCAGCGGTTTGGCGCCTGCCTTTGGCCCAGGGCGCGATCCTGGAGACCCGGGATCGAATCCCACGTCGGGCTCCCGGTGCATGGAGCCTGCTTCTCCCTCTGCCTGTGTCTCTGCCTCTCTCTCTCTATCTGTGTGTGACTATCATAAATAAACAAAAATTAAAAAAAAATTAAAAATAGAAATATCATATGAACCAGTAATTCCACTATTGGGTATCCACCCAAAGAGAAGAAAAACACTAATTCAAAAAGATATATGCACCTCTATGCATACTTACTGCAGCATTATTTACAACAGCCACAATATGGCAGCGAGGCTAAGCATTCACCAAGAGATGAATGGAGGGATGCCTGGGCAGCTCAGTCGGTTAGGCATCTGACTCTTGATTTTGGTTTAGGTCACCATCTTAGGGTCACGTGATTGAGCCCCAAGTAGGTTCTACACTCAGCGGGGTGTCTGTTTGAGATTCTCTCTCCCTTTCCCTCTTCCCCTTTCCCTGCTCGTGGGTACACTCTGTCTCTAAATAAATAATTAAATCTAAAAAAAAAAAAGGCGAATTGATAAAGAAGATGTGCTATATACACACAATGGAGTATTAAGCAGTCATAAAAAGGATGAGATCTGCCATCTGAGATGATATGGATGAACCTTGTGGATATTATGCTAAGTGAAATAAGCTATGATGAGAAAGAAAAATACCCTATGATTTCACTTATAAGTGGGAACCTAAACAAAAACAAATAAACAAGCAAAAAGCAGAATCAGACCTATAAATACAGAGAACAAACTGACAGGTGCCAGGAGGAAAGTGGGTTGGGGGTTGGGCAAAATGAGTAAAGGTGAGAGGGAAATACAGGTTTTCAGTTATGGAATAAGTAAGCCATAGGAATAAAAGGAACAGCATAAAGAATATAGCAAATGATAGTATAATAATGATGTATGGAGACAGATAGTAGCTACACTGTGGTGAACACAGCATAATGTATAAACATATTGCATCACTATGTTGTATACCCGAAACTAACACAGCACAGTGTGTCAACTATACTTAAATTTAAAAAGTCATTTCAACCAAATAGCCAAAGCAACCCCGACACACACACACACACACACACACACACACACACACACACACAAAAGCTGGAGGCACCAAGGTTCCTTATTTCAAAATACATTACAAAACTATAGTAATTAAAATAGTGTGGTATTAGCATAAAAATAGACACATAGAGGCCAGAAATAAGCCCATGCATATGCCATCAATAAACTAATGACAAAAGAGCCAAGAATATACCATATTACAAGGGAAAGGATAGTATCTTCAGCAGATGGTGTTGGGAAAACTGGACAGCTACTCTAAAAGAATGAAACTGGACCACTGTTTCATACTAGACACAAAAATTAGCTCAAAATGGATTAAAGACATTAACAAAGAACCTGAAACCATATAAAATTCTAGAAGAACACACAGGCAGTAAGCTTCTTGACAGGTCTTGCTGAGGATTTTCTGAAGGTAACACAAAAACCAAAGGCAACAAACGCAAAAATAAACAAGATACCAAACTGAAATCTTCTGCAGAGCAAAGGAAATCATCAACAAAAAGAAAAAGCAATCTAATAAATGGGAGAAAATATTTGCAAATCGTGTATCTGAGAAGTGGTTAGTATCCAAAATACATAAAGAACTCATACAACTTAAAAGCAAAAAAAAAAAAAAAAAAAAAAAAAAAAAAAACCCAATCTGATTAAAAAATGGGCAGAAGATGCGAACAGACATTTTTCCAAAGACAACATATGGATGGCCGACAGGTATATGAAAATATGTTCAACATCATTAATCATCAGGGAAATGAAAACCAAAACCACAATGAAATACCACCTTATACTTCTTAGAATGGTTATTCTAAAAAAAGACGAGAAATAACAAGCACTGATGAGGAAGTGGAGAAAGGGGAACCCTTGTGCACTGCTGGTAGGAATGTTAACTGGCCTAGTCACTATGAAAAACTATAGGAAGATTCTTTTTTTTTTTTTTAAAGATTTTATTTATTAATGAGAATACACAGAGAGGGGGGAGAGAGAGAGAGAGGCAGAGACACAGGCAGAGGGAGAAGCAGGCTCCATGCAGGGAGCCTGACATGCGACTCAATCCCGGGTCTCCAGGATCACGCCCCGGGCTGTAGGTGGCGCTAAACCGCTGAGCCACCGGGGCTGCCCAGGAAGGTTCTTTAAAAAATTAAATAGGGGTGCCTGGATGGCTCAGTCGGTAAGCATCTGACTCTTGATCTCAGCTCAGGTCTTGATCTTGGGGTCGTGAATTCAAGCCCCCCCCACTGGACTTCATGCTGGGCGTGAGCCTACTTAAAAAAAATTAAAACCAGAACTACCATATGATCCACCTTCTGGGTATTTAGCTGAAGAAAATTAAAAAACTAACTTGAAAAGATATATGCACCCTTATGCTCACTGCAGCATTATTTACAACAGCCAAATACAGAAACAACTTAAGTGTCTGTCAATGAATGAAGGGATAAAGAAATGGTGGTGCAGCCATCATTTCCAGCCTCTCTCTAGCTGCCACCTTGCATACTCACATCTATGCACCTGCAT